GGTTTACTTAGGATGAGAGCTGCCACTTTATTATTGAGTTAGGGTACCAATGGGTCTGGGCTGCTGCTCAACCAGCATTTAGTTGTGGATGTGGTGGCAGTGGCCAGGGCAGATTGATGTTTGGAACAATATAAATAATAGGGCTGGCAAATGATTAAAAAATGTGATCACGATTAGTTGCACAACGAAAAAATTAGTCTAAATTACTTGTGATATTAATCACACAGCTAAAAACTCAAAATTATGCTAAGAAAAACTGAAAATTATGCAAATTATGCAGGTACTTTGTATGGTTAGGAGCTGCATGAGGTGGCTCCACAGGAATCTCACCCCCACCCGCTGGTAGCTGCCTCCACAGGGGCACAGGGTGTGGGGCCACCATTGCCAGTGCTTCCCAGGGGCCCAGACCAGGGATGCACAAGGACCCACAGGTCCAGAGGTTGCTCGTGCTGAAGCTCTCAGGTGGTCCTGACCCGCCTGAAGCCTGAGCTGTGGAGCCCAAACCCCTGGCACTGCCCAAACCCCTGGCACTGCCAGCCTGACTGCTGAGGGCTCTGAATGGGGGCTGTGGGTGTGCCCAATCTCCTGCCTCTCCCTGCTGCAGCCGCCTGAAGCCTGCGCCTGGGCTGCTCTACAGCTTCTCTGCACTGCCACCACGGCCCCACTGGGCAGCCCAGAGGCAGCAATGACAGCAACAGGGCAGGGCAGCTTGGGTGCAGGCTCCAAAAACACGGGCGCAATTAACATGTTAAAAAAATTAACGTGTTAATTGGCTCTTGCGTTAATTGTGCACATTAACAGTGACTAATTGGCAGCCCTAATGAATAAATATTCATCTTGAAACTTCTAAAATTATTGCATTACCATAGTAACAAGGGCTCCAGCTAAGCTTTAAGCCAATATTGTGCTAAAAGTTGTAAAGTACATAGTAAAAAAATCTCAGCTTCAAATAGGTTGCAATGTAAACAGAAAAGAAAAAGGTGGGAGAAGGGAAGTCTTGTCTTCCCTTTGCACATGGCCAAACTGAGGCACACAGTTCCCTACTAACTCACTTAAACTACTTTGAAAATCCTGCCTCTGTGACTCTGCAGACATTACACAGGAGTTTGTAGAAGAGGCAGAAACTAACCCCAGCTCAATACCTTAGCTGTAAGGGCTAACACTGATTACAGAAGAATTGTTCAGATACCAGCACCTCACTTCCCCCACTTCAATGGCATCAAAGCCAGCTCTAACCAATCTGCAGCACTGCATAGTGCATGATATGAAAACAATCTTGTGTCCTTCTTTTTTGAATAAACCTCCAGCCCTTGAGCAAAGCCACATCCATGAAAACCTATGGCATTAGCCCCTAAATCAGACACATGCCCTCCCATCTACTTTCCAGAAGCACAAGTGCCCTGTGTGGCACATTGACATTTACTGCAGTGGATCTTTTCTCTCCCTTTCTCCAGCTGCTGGGGGCAGGGTATGAGTGCATGCCCAAGGCTCCTTGCTCTTTTATGAGACACTTGGCCATATGTTCTTTACATCTTTTTCCATGGAAGCAATTGATGGGTATCTTGACTTGTAGGCTGGCATTTCCAGATACCAGCCCTGCCTTCCTCTCTCTCTTATTCCTGTCCCCTTTCAGAAATGGCTTTGAGCTGTTTGCCAAACATCACTTTCCAATGTGGGTGGGTTTTGTTTGGTTTTGTAGGAAATTAACTCCCTAGGTCCACCCCCCCCACTTTTGCCCCAAGGGACTACCTTTTTCACTGCTTTCCCTGTGCAGCAACAGTTGCTAAAGGGTCTGCAGAAAGGTGATATTAATGGTTTCTTACAGGAAAATCAAAGACTTGCATGCTTCGTTGCACTGCAAGCATCTGATGGAACGTGCTAAACAGGGATGCTGGGACTGGACCGACAATAAATATTTATCATGATTAAGGGAAAAGCCAATAAATGCCATTAGAGCTCCAAGCAAAATTAGCTCCATGCTGCAGAGCCGAGTCTTCACTATCATTCAGGATTAACTGCGATTATGCACTGACTCCACCAACCCATGAAGCTTTCCAAATAATAAACCTTGTACATAACAACTAAATTTAACTGAATTCCCCTCAGCTAGCTGGGAGGGCTGCTTCCATCCCTGGATGGAAAGGTCTCATTTCTAATGCAACACAATCCATGCCCCCTTTGAAAGCCAGACAGCCCCCTTGGTGCAAGGACATGGATATCTTACAGATGAGCCTCTCAGAACTCCAGTGATGGTGCACTTTGTTCACCTTTGTACTGTGTGAAGCACCAAGAGCTCAGACAAACTGGACAGGATGACTGACTGCAACCTCAGAGCCCTTTGTCCTGACTGCTTGCTCTTTAAGGTGCGAATAAGTGAAGGTTTCTCTGAAGGAGCTGTCCAGGCCCTGGGCTGGGTTAGGTGCACATGGGACTGGCACTGAAACAAGATTCAGTAACTCCACCTGCATTCCCCCAGTGTTTCCAATCCCATCCTTCAATGCAGCACTGTGGGTACAACCAACTTGAATTGCTGCACTTCTTGCTGGTCACCTCTAATCCCAAGCTGCCACCCGCCCTGTCATTTTAGATCTAGGCCTTTCAAACAGGGAGTCTTTCCAACGTCAATCAAATGTGCTGCAGTTCAGTATTGTAGAAATGGGGCCAGGCTGTATGGCTCTGATGCAGAACTTCCACCTTCCTCAGGGCCCTCAGGTTTGCATCCAACCCCCAGAGCCCCTGCTCCATGCTCACCAGTGAGGGTCACAGCCTGCTTGGAAGTGGCTAACATGGCAGTCACAGGCAGAGCAGCAGACTTTGAGTAGAAGTGTGCCTAGCACTTGAAGTCAGCAAGAAAAAAGATCTCTTGGGCCATTGAGTCCAAGGCAGCCACATCACACAATCCATTTGATAAACAGATCAACATCCATCTTGAACTCGGTTAGGTTTTTGGCCCCCACCAAAGGAAGGCTATTCAAGAACCTTTTTCTTTCCTAGTCCATTCATTTCTCAGCTAGCAGGAGGCCAAGGAGTCAGAGATCACTCCAAGCTCTGCCACAGATTTGGCTCTGAGCAAGCCCCTGTCTTGGTATGTAAATAGAAGATGAGATTTAGCAGCTTTGCAGGCAGGCTGTGAAGGTTCATTCATTAATGGCTGCAAAGGGGTTGAGATCTTTGAATGGAAAGCACCAGAAAGGGCTCAGTATTACCAGTTTTAGCAGTGAGATGGAGCTGCTGAAGAACAAAAGCAACTCACTGAAAGCAGAATGGCCACAGCCACCAAAGAAGAAAATACCACCTAGTAGCAGAAATGCTGGACTATGACACAACCACAGCTGCCTCCAATGAAAGGTTTTTCTGAGTTCTCTGGGCAGCATCAGCTGCTCTTTCAGGGGACACTAGAGATGGTCATTCCTGTTCACAAACAAACTGTGCCGTTACTCTAAAACTATGGCCTGCTAGATCCCAGGACAGTTCCTTAGTTAACAGAACCCACCTGCACGAAAAGAGTTCCCTCTGCTCCCACATCATGCTTGGCAGCTTAGCCAACCATGCCCTACAGTGTTAATAATCTGGGCACCCCTTCTGATTAGGACATGATTAATTGAGTCTGCTGCAGCATCTAATTGGAATGCTCCAGCGTGCTGCAGCATCTCGTACATTCAGTGTCCCTGCATTTGAAAATGGTGTTAGGGGCACTTTAACTAAAGCTGGTTGAATGAGCTTTAGTTAAAGCGCCCCCCTGCCATTTTGAAATGCGGGACACTGAATACATGAGATGCTGTGAGCATTTTAATTAGAGCGGCTCCCAAAAGCTGCTGTATTTAAAACATCCTCCCAAACTCCAGAGCATATGCATAGGTTCCCTTTGGTTTCAAGAGGATGAGGAAAAGGGAACCACTCAGCAAAGCAACAGAAATAGCCCATGAAAAGGACCCAGGTTACTTTGGTAATGCAATGGCAGCATTAGCCATTCAAAACTTTCACCCTGCTGTAGACAGACCAAGTAATTTATGGGCACCTGGAAGGATATTCAGTATGGAAACAATCCACTCACTCCTACCCTGGCTATTTTCATGGGGCTAATCCGTGCTGGTGAGGAATAGATGTTCACAATTTTTTTCCAAACACCTCTGCAATGAATCAACCTAAGTCACCTCTGCTTATCTTACTCATGGTTAAATACTCAGTTATTTCCATGGAGTTTAATCGCATGATTCAGGATATCATGGTTTGGCTTAGAATAATAAATAACAACATCAGAGCAAAATGAACAGAAGTCTGTCAAAAAAGTAGAGTCCTTTGGATTTCCCAACTCCTGTTACTGTATCTCCTATTGAATCTCACAACATTTGGTGTGCCAATTAAAGACTTAGCTGCCGGTGGATTACACAAGAAGCTTGGCTTCCATTAAAAAAAACCAAATTTCTAGCTCATGATTTGAGACAGAAATTTGAAAACATGACTCCTAAGGGTTCAAAACCTAGGAACCGAATGAAACAAAGAAACTATATATTTAGTTCACATCCTGGATTTTGGGCCTGAAGCTTGATTTTCAAATGCTTGGGGTTGGTAGTATTCTGTATTTGTAAATTATACCAAAAGCTTCAAGATCAGAATCTGAATTATTTAAAGGGGCAGAACTGACTTTATGTGCTACTGACATGCTTTCTGGGAAGGTGGGGGTTCAAATATTTCAAAATGCATGTAGATGTCCTCCTCACTAAAGTCAAACTGGACCTAGAGTTTTCTGTGGATTACAAATGAGAGCAGACTTCAGCTCCTGGTTCTTAAAACTCCTCTTAGAAACTGTCTTTGTGTACCTGGAGATTGTACTGCTGAAGTTCAGCATTATACAATTAACTTGAAGCATAATTTGTTACACTGCCAAAAAGACTCTTTCTCATGCACACAGCAGCCACTGTAGTACATGCCTAGAGCCTAGAGAGTTTAAACGGTATTGACTGACTTGGGGTCAAGAGAGGGGATTTTGTTGGACTTACCACAGGTTTGTCTCCTACTGAATGTGCCATGGAACTGTATTTCTGCAAAAGGAACAGTCATATGAGAAGACGGGGCCAGCATGCATCCAGCATTTCTAACCAGCAAACAAAATTATCCCTTGCCACAGTAATCCACGTGCTTTTATTTATTCTTTTAAAGAATGACATGTCTGGAAGTCAATTTCGAAGCACAAAGATCATCCATATAATGTAACACTACTTATTACAAAAACCCATCTTGGGGACAAACAGCTCTTGATATTAAAATGAAAGACCTGGGCATAGAGAAAAAACTGAAAAAGAGTGAAACACTTAAGTATAGACACAATACATTGGCATACATATCTCATCTCTTCCTCAAAAGACTGCTCCTGGCTTAGCCTCCTAAGGAAGGTGAGTGCATTTTATTTTTAGGCATGCAACTAAACTTCAGGAAGCCAGGATGCATATTCAGCTCCCTAACAGATGTGTCCTGACTCAACAAAGACGTTGGGCCATGAAAACCATGGGAGCTACAGGGGCCCAGTGCCTCGATAAAGCAAACGTGTTCCATGCACTTACAAGCCCAAGTTTAGGCTCCCTGCTTTGAAAACCAGGCTTTATCATCATCATTAACACACTGTACATCGAGTAGCAAGATCAACATTTAAGAAATCAGATCTATTACGTGTAGAGTTGATACAAGATTATCACCTTCTTGATGTCTGACTTGTGGCTGAGCTTTCCAGATGAGGGCAGAGTGGTGACTGTAAAATTGTTTGGATCTTCACAGTCACGGATTTTGGATTCCTTTATCAGCGAGTCAAGTTTCTTCTTTGCTATATTTTCCACTCGCTTCCGATTGGTGGAAGCCTACAAACAAAGCAGTTCAGTTAAAGGAAGGCAAAGGTGCATGAAGCCCTAACAATTCTTCCAGCCAGGGTTAATGCAAATTAAAATGTTACATTAGAAAAAGAAAGAGGAACATGAAGCAAAAGAAAAACAGAAACAAAAACAACACCAAGACCCCACACTGCACTAAGGCTATTAATGACTACCGGTCATGCCAAATAGCCCAGCAGCCTCTTCACTTGTACATTGTGAAGCACAGTATCATTCTCAGTTGTCACCTGCAATGATAGGTGTGCCCAATGCCAGACTTCACAGTAGATACGCAAGCACGTGAAGTCCTACATTTAGGTGTTAATTCTAAAGCGGAACTAGATTACCTGAAGTCACAAAGTGAAATTACTTGAACAAATTCACAGAAAAAAAGATCTGCTTGAAAGGAACCCAAACTGATCAACAACAAAAGCTACTCAAGTGGCACATGCTGTGTTACCAAATCATTGACGTGCTGCCTGGAAATAATTAATATTGAGACAGCTCCCCCTGCACGTTTGACTAACACTTGCTACATTTCGCAGTGTTCATTTATGAAAATAGGCTGATACATTCCAGCCTGGTGAATGGACCAAGCCATTTCCAAGGCACTTCAATTTGTTGTGACTGTGTGTGGAAAGGCTGACTACAACAGAGTGTATCTTTTGTACATCAAGTCTGATGGAATTGCCAAGGACAGCACCAATTTGCCATGTGGAAGCTTGATTCTGCACCCACAGCGGATGCAGAATCCAACTGAACGGAATGAGGGAGCAGCTGGAGAGTCGGGACTTAAACATTACAAAGGTAGCACTAAATTGCATCTTCCTATCCAGTTCTTCCATGAAGGCTACAGCATATTTAGGGGAAAGGGGAATAAAAGGAATGAAGACAGAAAATCAGGGCTCTCGTTTCTATTGGTGCCGTTTAATGTGGGTGATTCACAAGTTTGGATCTTTAAAAATGGCAGAAGAAAAAGCAGACAGTGTTTTCTTAATGAGCCTTAGAATGTCCTGATTAATTCCCTCGGGAAACAAGCTGTTGTTTACTGTGCTCCCTGAAGGCTCCTCTAAAGTGAGCGGCGTCTAGCAAATCTGGAATCCCAGACATCAGTGAAAGCCAGACCGAGACAAATCGCCAGGTAACAAAGGGAGAGAGGCAGCACCTATGCAGGATTTCCTGAAAGAAATGCATCCAGCCATAAACTGTAGCAGGGAAAGCAGAAACACTTTAAAAGGAAAAATGATTCTCCTTCTAACATCCATCTCTCCACCCATCTGATCTGCAAGCAGAACATAAATTTCATCTTCTGTCACTGACGAGCTTGCTTGTGATCTGTTTAGAAGAAGACCTGAGTCAAAGTTCAGTTGCAAGCCTCAAAAACCCTCCTTTACCTAAGTATCGGGGTGTTTATCTGAGCCTTTTCCAATCAAATGAGACTGGAAATCCTGCAAGAACAGGCCCATCATTTTCCCAGGTTTCCTGGTTCCAGCTGGGCTGTGAGAACAGTCCCCTTGTTGCCCTCTGATACCTGGAGCACTCTGTCAAACCCAGGGAATGCCGACAAAGGTGTGCAGAAAATGCGAGAACAGCAAGTCTGAGGAAGTTTGCCTGTCACAACAAAAGGTACAGTTCACGTTTCTGGTTGTAGTTTGCAGATGGGCAATGTCCCATTGGGTCTCAATTTATCCAGTTTCCCCATCTCTAGCTGCTCCACATATCCAGTTATAATACAGGTGGGTCACACTTCAAACATGCATATGTGGGACTTGTAGTAGCATTTGCAGTACCCTCACACAAGGTGTCCCCCCTGCTCGAAATGGTCATTCCTTGGTAACATGACTGACCCCACATAGTTAATGCCCAGTGGGCTCAACACTACCACCACCTGGGTGTACAGTACCTTCCACTTTGAACAGAAGCAATGTCAGGCAGAGAGAAAGCAAGATAAAAAACCGTAAGAGTAAAGTGTCAACACATCAGAGCTCAACATTAAGTAAAAATGTCTAAAAACTATGATAAAAACATAACCAAACATGTTCTCCTCTTTAAGACAGACTTTGAGATTCTCCATTTCTAGACTAGCTTAGCTCTAAAAAGATGTTTCTTTTCTAGTCCTAAAACAAAAGATTGTATCCATAATATAAGAGAAGGAAACAGTCAGAAACAGGGACGAGAGAGGTTTGCAAATGTAATCTCCGTCTCAGGCAATCTGATTTATGTTATTAAAAGTTTCTGCTTTATCGTTTATATTAAGTTTCCCTAAACTGTGGTACCAAACTCGCTATGAGCTGGAAGATTAAACTGTCAGAAGAATTTTACTTTTAAAAGGCAAGAAGAAATAAGGTGTTTTTCAGGCTGAAGCACGCAGAGGCAAATAGCTTCTTCCCCCCACCCCTTTAACACCTTTGTGCAGCTGAAGCGAGCTAAACACTGCATTCAGCAAGCCAACAACTGCTCGCTATAAACAACTGCTCAGCTGGGAAAACATATTCCACAGAGATGACCCAGTTTGATGTGGGTAGGCACTGAAGCGTGCAGTTTTGTTGAATGCTTTACCATACAGCACACCACAGCATCAAGGAACCCATAGGAGACATTTTTATTTTGTACACACAGAAAAAACAGCTGGGAAAAAGCCACAGGCTGCTGTTACCTGCAGCAATTTACCACTGATTAATTGCTGGAAGCCCTTTTTGCAATCTACTCTCTCACACACACAGTGTTAAGTGTTTAGTAAAATATACACAGAAAATATATGCATTTGTGTCTGCACACATAAGGCAAGCTTGCTGCACGTGTCTGAGTATATTTAATAAATGCAATGGATACAGACAGACCCATCTTTATGTAAGTGCTCCCATTGGCAGCTCTCGCGGACTTAAGGAGATGAAGTTGCACAGCAGTTCTGAAAATCAGGGCACATACAATGACTATACACACATACACACACACGCTTGCTCTCTCTCTCCCCCCTGGTTTTAAAGAAAGAGAGCACAAAAACCCCAAATTAACTTTTTGGGGGATGCTGATGCTCAGCACCTCTGGGACAAAAAAAATCATTAGGCCTGTACAAGTTACATCTGCTCCAATGGCTGGTTGAAACTTTCTGATTTAATTAAATTTGGTCAAAATCTTCTGTTAAATCACAGCCAAATTTTTTGATCCCTGTTCATTTGGCTTCCAGTAAAGCAGAGAGTAAAAATTGGGTCTCCCAGGCCATTACCCTAACCACAAGTCCACTTCTTCCTTCCTTCTCTCCTTCCCACACATACACTGACATTTCAACATTTTTGGACTTAAACTATCAGGTTTTGATATGGAGAGAGACACATATTAACCTAATTCAATGTCATGAAAGCACATCAAAGGTTCTGTTTTCATTTCTTTTCTTTTCTTTAAATAAGAAATGCTTCACGAATGTGCGTGTCATCCTTGCGCGGGGGCCATGCTAATCTTCTCTGTATCGTTCCAATTTTAGTACATGTGCTGCCAAAGCTGTTTTCATGTCAACAAAACCAAGGTTCCCTGAACAGGCTGTGAAGTAGAATGGTCATCCTCCAGCAAGCTCTATTGGTACCCACCCCCAATCTCTACAAGATGTATTTTCAAACCACAACCACACATTGAGCTTAGGTTAGATCCATTACCTAGAACCCACATTCCCATTCCAGAAGGCGCATACACCCAGTGCCCTGGCATTCATCCCACTGGCCTGGATCAGATCAACCAGTGCTCACATACAAATGGCCGTTTTACTTACATCTCCATTCATAAGTTTGCAATCATCATCAATCTCATCAGCACTGTCCTCATCAGACACTTCTCCTTCCTCTGCATCCTCACTAATATTGGCTGGAAGTTTCTTTCCCTGGAAGTTGAAAAGATAAAGCAGGCAGCTCAGTATGTGTCTCTTGGTTCAATGTGTAGAAAGTGGTTACGTACAATGGGAAACATCAGAAAGACTTAGAGTGCTTGGGGATAATGACAGTACTCCGTATAGAGCTGAGTTCTTCAGAATAAATGTAACTTGGGTTCAGTTAAGGAGGTCAAGCAAGACTCTCAAAATTAAGCAAGAAGTCTCTACTCTGGGAGTGCAGAAAGCTTTCTGCCTCCATACTCCTTTTTGCTCTGTATCCATTTGGGTTATCCGACTAGCTGGCTGAGTTCATGGGAGAAAAATAATCAGTAAAAAAATTACTTTCTGTCTATTGAGACTACTGATCCTCTGAGCCAGAGACACAGCCCCCAGCTGCTACCACCATTCCACCTGTGAACTGAGGAGTGGTGAACAATTTTGAAAGTCTGGCCCATGGTGCTCAGACTGAGACATCCCGCAATAGCTTTCTCCTGACTTGAAGGAAGAGGAATCTCTAGCTCCATTTTCTTTTCAATCCACGGACGAGTGAGATTTCATTCCATTTAAAAGGGCAGTTGCCAATATTTGCCAGCATTAAAGCAAACTAGACATATGCAATTAAACCAATTAATTTTCAAAACCCTAACAGAGGCTCTTTGACCAGTGTGCAGATGTTTGGATCACCCAAAACATGGTAGGAGCATTGACAGTACAACCCAGTGCATACATAGCAAACAGCAGCTCTGCCTCCTCAGCATTTCTGACCTCATCACAGAGCCTGGGGAAAAGAATTCACATGAAAATGTTCTTTTTACGAGCATAATTGCTATTAGCTGCTGTGCAATTATTTCTGACAATGTACATTTATATCTTTACGGAATCAGAGTTGGACGAGTAGATTGTGTCCATTTCTGGATCACTGTGGGGTGAAGCACTGGGTTTGGGTTCAATATCATTATGTTACTATGGCAGTCCATCCCCTGCAGAGAGCCGTGTGTCATGTGGGAATCCTTGCATCTCCTTCCTATGGCGTGGGGTCAGAAGTGTCAGATGATGGGGTGGATGGAAGTGTGCCATAAAACCAAGTTGCCCCAAACTGCAGAAGTCTGGCACAAGTTTTGCTGTTCTGTATTAAGTCTAAGCCAAGTGGCCATCCTGATTCAGATACCAGCAGACTGTAATCTATATCACAGTTCATCTGGTCAAGGCACTTCCCTTGCAGAGTTCATCCACAATACACACAACATGTCTCTTGTGTTTTGTTCTGTGTTATTTTAGTTTCACATATTCTAATTTTGTTCAAAAAACCTTTAAAAACATTTCTGACATTTCCACTTCTCCCCCAATATATTAGCCATAAACTGTAAAAGCAGCTGAAAGCATTTCTTGCTAGTGGGCATCTTGAAAGTGAGAAGATTTGACAGAATCATGATAAAGATCTAATGGACGCTAATGACTTTGAGATTCACCTACTGCAGGTCTCCTGGAGATGCTAGCGTTTGCATCATAAAAGAACTTGAACTCATGCAGAATAAAAGGCTTAAAAGAAATGCTAAGCATCTCTAAACCATGGAACTAGCTGAGGGATATGGCAGGCAACCTGGGTATAATATAAGGTTTTAGAGAGATTTTAATTAACTAACAGTTGTAAAGGCATTTGGGTTCCCTGGATAAAAGAGGTGTTAAAATGTATTATTATCCTGCAGTGAAGAGAAGGGAAAGCTGGCAGAAGGGAGTGGAGAAGGATGCAGGGTGGCATTAATATTTAAATCTCTGCAAATAGAAGTTTCTAGAGATACTTCATTCAACAGCACTTAAAATGATGCAGCTTAGAGCCCAGAAAAAAGCATTTCTATGTAGCCTCTTTAGAAGTTGTTACAATTGACTTCTCAACCTTATAAATCCAGCAACACATACGGAAATTAGGAGCCATTTTGTTTTTTCAATTAGAGCTTTTCCAGTGCAGTGCAATAGCAGATGGTTTGGGCAGCACAACTGGCGCCTCCTGCCAATCCCCGCTGGCTTCTCACCAAGCTCCAACCAGCTACCTACAAGCCACATGTGTAACAGGCACCCACTCTGGAGCACGTTATCACAACAGCCAAGCACAGAGGTGAACACACTAGGTGACAGAGAACTGGACCTGCCCTCCCCCGCCAAAAATTTGAGCTGCATCACACATGGCTTCGACTCAGTCTGCACAGAGACCCTGGGGTTTAGCCCCAGTCAAACACCGTTATTTATTTAGACATGTGAAAACCAACTCTAACGAGTTACTACCGCAAGATGCGTAAGGAAGACTCAGTTACAACAAATCTGGCTTTGAGCTGCATTAGGATCCTTGTATGAATGTCCCCTTCAACCATGGAGGGGCCACTGCTGTGCATATAGTCATCCACAGATGTGGCCCCACAGATGTGCTTTATGTTCACTCACCAGGACTTGTGGCGAGGAAGAGAAAAGCAGTTCTAGATTGGGCAAGTCACTAGCCTTGATTCCTCAGCAGGTTAGTGAGAGTCAGGACCTGCCTCCAGAGGCCTTGACTTCCAGCCTCTTGTTTTACTATCACTTCAAGTGCAAACCTTCCCCCAAATGAAGGCTTAGGACTGAAATAGCATCATGACAAACCACTAATGCAAGGCAGCAAAGGCTCGTTCAAAGGATACACAGTTCTTTTCCAGCAACCCTAGATACCCAGGGCTCCCACAAGCTCCAGGTGTGAAATGCAAGCTGTGATACCCTGTGCTCCAATGCAGCCACGAGAGGTGCCAAGTTAGTCCCTTTCACTTGGACTGTCAGCAGCAAAGCCTGAGTTCTGGCCATGTCCAAACCCAATGAGACAAGCTTTCCAGACAAACAAACATTTCAGAAAAAAAACAGGCTGAGATTTCATGGTGGTATATAGATTATTGAACCAGCAGGTAACCTGGGTTATGAAGCAGTTACATTTTTCTTTATTTAATAGATTCTGGACTGGAAAGAGTAAAGAATAGCTTCTTTTTCATGTCACCCAGAGTACCATGCCTGTCAGTTGGGAGCACATCCCTCTTGATATGTCATTAGCATTAATGACAGCTCCATGCTCCACCCACAAGCAAGCAGCGGAGACATCAACCAAAGAAGGGTACAAGAAAACAATCCTCCAAACTCTTTGTTACAATACTCTGCAATGTGGGCAGGTGTACTAAACCAGGCTCCTAAATAAAACAGCCTTGTCATCTCTCATTTATTTCCCATCTCCTACCAAAGTATGCCCAGAGGCACTGGAATCAACATCACAAACTAACATCCTGAAAAATGTTAGCTTATAGAAAACACACAAACACAAAGGCGACATTTTCCAATTCATGGGAGATCACCTAGAAGCCTGTAGGTTTTCAACAGCTGCAAAATAAATTCAGAAAGGACCAAGCTAACAGTGAAACCTTGTCAGATATATTTCTATTAACTTGGGTTTGAAACAGAATTTCCTAGTTGAACTAAATGGAAGGTGCTCATTAAATTATCTCTTCCTTCCCATAATATCAGGAACAATAAACAATACAAGGACAGCAGCAGACAGGTCACCAGTCAGAGACCCAAGGCAACAGGAGAGCTCAACGAAATGGCGTGATAAAGCTGATGAAGCACGCTCACATCCCTGTTTCATTAACAGGATTTTACACCTCTCTTACTGGGGGAAAAAGACTGAATTCTGAACCAAGCTTGCAAGTCTAACACATTTAATCTTTTGAGGAATCTTTGTTCTTTTCCCCTTTGAGGACTCTACATCTGACCATAACATTCAAAAGGATATTCACAAAATTTCAGGAAATATCACATTTTAGCTACTGTGGTACTGTGAGGGGAAAACCGTTTACCCAGATCTGCACTAAAACCTGCTCTTCAGGCTTCCTTATATATTTTCACAGGCATTTTTCAAACTGCTTGTATAGCTGACAAGCCCTTTGCACAAAGCTCACTGCTAAAACTATTTCAGTCTCCGCTTCTCTAAACACAAGCACAAGGGCTGCCAGCACTGGACTCCTCTCTCCAGTCAGCTGGTCGTAAATCCATTCTAGTTACTGACAGTCTCAGCTACAGTCCGGAGCTGTATCACATGAACAAGGTGCTCCTGGTCTCTTGGTTGTCCCATGTATGAGGACCCTCTCCTGCAAAGTGCTGAGAATTTCTTTCCATTCAAATCCTGCTGCAGAATCTAAACAGATCCAAATGCGTACGAATGGGCACTCGGTCTGATGAGAGGAACCAGAACCCTAAACTGAATTCTGAGTGCTTTGATGCCTGGATTACCTGTAATGATTTGGCTAACTGAGGCTGTAATGTTTTAAAACCAGAGAGCTCTTATATAACCACCACAGAAGAGAGCACAAGAGCAAAATAAAGCAGGACTTTTTTTTTTTTTTTTTTACCTTAACTAATATCTTCCCTTTAAGACTCTCTGGGGAAGGCAGTTTGGTGGGATCTTCATTGTGCACTGAAGACAGATCTAGCTTGTCTCCTAGGATTTCAATAAGATACTGAGCCATCTTCTTCTGCTGGATGACGCTGCAGTGGTTCTCTATAGATAAAATAACAGGGTACCTGGAAGAGACATAAGCTGCATGTCAGCTGCATATTCAGCTGCTATCACACTGATGAAGAAAGAGCTACTTGTGTCTACAGTTCACAGTCTCACCAGAGCTACATGTCCAAAGGGGCTGGTTCAGGTGCACAGAGAACAGAGTGTGTGTCCCACTGCTGACCCCAAACTGAGCGATCTATTTTAAGTCAGGGAGTATTTCTATCTATCCCTGCACCCCACTTTGACACATCTCTCAATATCCCACCTTTCTTTACACTGTATGGGCACACACAGCCCTGGTCTCCATTGCCCCCTCTCTTCTTGCTCCACAGAAAGCTGGTATATTCCACCACCAATAAATGCTGTATATCTAAAGCCTTCAGACCCCTTCCACTCCAGGCTCTCCTGTCCTTCCTCACCCATATTGCTCAGTTGAATTGAACTGCACAGGACCCAGGAACACGTACCATCTTCCAGAAGGAAAACCTGCTATATTAAGTCTTTTGGGGAAAGACCCTGGTCAAAGAACGTGTAGGGTCATGCAACATTCCCATCAGCACCCATCATTTAGTAGCTTGTAAGAGACAACATGCCTCTTTGCAATGGGTCTCAGTTCAGCTGTTTCCTGTATGATTTTATACAAATCATCAAAAAAGCAAATGGATTCTCTCCTCCCCTTTCCACTCCCCATTTATCTGATGCCTCTGACGTAAGTAGTTTTATATCTACTATTCATATCATCTCTACCAGCTCACCATTCATTGTCTGATGAGTTGTAAGCAGCTCACTGACAAACACATGGCCAACACCTAACAGTACATCAATATATTCATGATTAGGGCAATTTTCCAGGCCCATTTTTAAGTAAACAACTGCTCTTCTCAAGGTGGACTATTCAGAGGTGATAAAGAGCAAGATGAAAAGTCTCATAAAAATTTTGGCAGCTAGAGAAATGCAGTATGAAATGCCACCCAATATATCCTGGCATAGATATCCATAGGTCTTATAATCAGACACTTCACTATATAAATGAAAAGTAGGTAGATCAGGGCCAAAAATATTTGCTGTTTCATAATAAGCCAATAATTTTGGAATGTCTTTGAGAGACATGGTTCCTCTAACAGAGGAAATGATCCAAAGCTCACTGACATCACGAGTCTTACTATTGACTCCAATGGACCGAGTCTAGAGTTCTTTCAGTTTTCCCCACCCTGGAAACTGGATAAGGAGTTTAGGATCTGAAAAGATTAATTCAGGATTGCTTCCTCTGATAACATTGCACCAAAAGGGGGACAGTACTGTGGCTGTATGACATGGATACAATAGTAGATGGGCTGCATGGATTAATCTGGTGAAAGTTGAGCTCAGCATGTAAAATTTAGGTCTAGATGAGCATTTGATAAATGTCCCTTAAGAAACTAACACACAAAAGGTGGAACTGCTGCCAAACCCATTCATTTTCAAGGTCTGACAACCTTGGCAAAATCCTGTAAGAGCACACCTCAAAAGCAATCAGTTTCTAGATTTACTGTTTATTTTTAGCAGCTATTTTTGGTTCCTACAGGCTGAGGGCAAAAAATCACACTCATCCAGGTGGGTTCATAGAACTCCAACACTCAGGTGAGCTGATCAACACTGTACATACTCCCGAGACAGTAGGACTCCTGGTTAGCTTACAAGTGGTGCTGGTCTGGGAGGAGTACAGACCCTGATATACAAATGTCACTTTGGTAAGTGTGAAATCTGGAATGTGGTACAAGAGGTAAGATGGAGGTGTCTGCAGTGTCCTGTGGCTCTCTACATCTCTGTGTTATAAAGAGAAACTTAATTTTAAACTGGGCAAAACACACAAGATAGAAACCACCCATTAGGCTGAGGAAAGAGCTTTCACCAAAAGCTTGCTTTCTGCCTTTGATTTGGGATAGTTACTACTATCTCAGGGAGTTGCCCTGATTTGGAAAACTTCACTAAGTTCCAATACCTCTGTTTTCCTGTAGCACCAAAACAAGTGGCAATGCTTACTAAATAAAATACAATTTAACTTAACAATTAATAGCAATGTTATCCCTGTTTGCCTCCAGAAGAGATGGCACAGCTGTGTAGAAAGTTTAAGACTGGGCAGATACCAAAGACCCAGGCCTGGACTTCCACACAAGGGTAGCAGTGAGAGTCCCAACCACTGGAGATGTGATGACCATACTGTATCCTCAGCCCCACCAAACACACACATGGGCAGTGAACACTTAATTGACACACCCAGCCACAGGAGAGCCATTGCACCCATGCTTCAAAGAACGGGAAGCAGCAGCAGACCCTTGCCTTCACAGCATCACTTATGGCGCCATGTGACTAGCTGCTCTGCCCTTTGTTATTACTAACGCCAACAGAAAGGACACCGAACAGATATGTAAATAAAAAATTCAAACCCCTCTTCACTGGTGCTGAAGGTTATTTGTACTGACAGTTACAGGTTGCTTCTCTCCTTTCCTCCTCCCCTTTTATAATTCTCTGGTCATCTGAGCACCACTGCACTCTGAGACAAACACCATTTCCCTTGAACAGGCTGTGCCTCCTGCACCTGAGCTGCTGCTTCCCCCTAAACCTTTGCTGCCTGACTAGCCTCTGTCTTCTGGGCATGGGCTGGACCCAAGTGCTCGACAGTGACCTTGGTGCCATGCACACTCAGAGCCACGTGGCCGAGCTGTCAGCTATCTGCTAATAATACTCATTGTCAGAAAATGTTAGACTCTCTGTCTTTTAGAGATGGGAACAAGTATAGACGCATGGCAATCTACTGATTCCCGCCTCCCTCAATCATCCTCGCCTTATTACTTCTGTGCCCGAGTACTCCCTGCAGTAAATCAACATATGAATGCTTGTCTGGCTTATGCAGAACTAGGTCAGCTTTGGATGTCACTGCCTCTGCATAGAAGCTGCCTAAACAGCCGTTCCACCATATCATGGATCAATTGGGGGATGCCAGGGGGGAGCAGAAAGGATGGATACATACTCATTCTTGATGAAGGCGTATTTGTTGATGGTTTCAATCACATCTTTGAAGAGTATCTTGGAGGTCAGGGTGTATCCGTGGTGGACAATTGGTTCGCCATCTGGCCCATCCCAGCAGTCAACTGTGAAGGAGAAACAAAACTCTCATTTAAACTGAGAACTCAGTATCAGAACATAAACAGACAGATCTCAGCCAGAATCATTCCCACAGAGAGGAAAGGTGGAGGTTTTCCTGGTATGTGGCACTGATTTCACTGTGTAACAGCACAATCACCCTTTATGCAAACTTTTTCCTGCCATGAGTGACTCTGGGCTACCATGCTGGGAAAGATGCCCAAAACCTGCAGCTTCCTGTGGTGCTCCAGCTTCAATGCCTGCCTAGCATGGGTTTGTGCCAACCCCTATGTGCGTCTCCTTGCACTTGGCTCAACAGCTTTCCTCTGCAGGCACTTGCTGGCCATGAAGCTCCGTTGTGAACGGATGACTCAGAAAGCACTGGCTGAGAAAGCTCCAAGCAAGAAGGATGTTCTTTTATGAGCGTGCAGGAGTTGTATCTTCATGTGAAAAGATACAGCACTAAAGCATAAAACTCCCATTTGGATTCAAAATGATAAGAAACAGAGATGGTTAGCTGAGCTCTTTAGGACAACACCAAAGCCAACATCTGACCCTCCTGTGAACTCTTCCATCCTTATACTTGCTTACATCTACATTTCCACTTGTTACTTCATTGCTCTGAGTACATGCAACCACTTTCATGGGCCTCAACCTGCTCAGCCTGCAATAACGATCTTTTGGAGATTGTGGACTCCAGACCAGCAGACTCTGGGACATATTTCCCAGCATAGATAAAGGCTTAGAAACAGTCAACATTTTCCACAACAAGACCCCTTTTTCATTCAGACTGCAGCTAGCCATCCGAATCTCTCCCACTTAGCAACACATTCGCAAAACACTGGTAAGTGTGTATACCAACGGCCTCTGATAGATGAAAACTTTTCTCTTCTCCCTCATACGATAAATTCCAACTTTTTGCAAGAATGAACAACACTTTTCTCTTCCTCTTTCTTATCCTTGTATTCTGGAAAACACTGTAGCAATGAGGCCAGGATTAGGGATGTAACTGCAACCTTATTTCGCTGGACTGTATGTTAAGCCTTTCCCTCCACTCAGCAGTCATGAGCCTTCCCTTCAGAGATGAGATAACACAAACTCCAGAGCCTCCCAGTCACCATACAACTATTCCCTGCTGATCTTTACCTTCCACACAGCGACAACCGGACTGCAGCACCCAGGAGTACATGTCCACTCTGGACTGAGACATCAGCTGATCCCCCATGAGGTAGGTGTTATGTGAAGAGGTGATGAAGTAGTGGCTCAACGGCTGAGACATGTCCTGATTCACCTGGTAGTGTTCTGGGTTGAAGATATCCCCTGAAGGGCTCCGCATGTAATTGGTGAAGCCTGGAGGGGCAGAAGATCAAAACACATGCACACCAGAGTCTAACACCAGAATGCATTGCTCTGAGCTGTTCTGTACCTACCTCTAACAACTTTCCTTTGCTCCACAGATTTACTGCCCTCTCCCCCTCTTCAAGTGATTATTTCATTTACATAATGGAGTTAAACAAAAGTATTTGTTCTGCCTGTTAGTTATCTTAGGCTGTGTCGGCTTGTCTCTCAGACCTGAAGAAGGCTGCTTTGCGCCCAAAAGCTTGTCTAACATCTCGCCCAACTATACAGTTTGTTCACTAAAAGATACGGCCAAACAAACCAGCTGTCCTGTGGTGATGAGTTCCACTGCCTAATTACATGTTGTGTTGAAACAGCTTCCTTCCCATGCACTTGCCCTCTTGCTGCTTTGTTTGCCTTTTGATGAGAGTTTATTGGTAAGTTTGTTCACCAGGAAGCTGTCAGCTGCCACATTTTCTCAGTCTTCCCAAGGTGGCCCAAAATAATATAAAAATTCCCCCATGAGGCCTCAAAACACACTTTATTTCCATGATTTACTGACTTAGCATTCAGGCTGATAGCAAGCTGCTGTAATTAGGATTCAAACAAATATTTATTTATAATTCACCAAGAAAAATAAATGAAGAGCTTTGTACAAATATTTCTCTCCTTGTCCATGATAATTGGGAACACATGATAAATAATCAACATGTTCCACACTTGAAATAAGCAAAATTAGATCAAAACTCCTTTGTATGCTGGTGTGTTCCTATTAAACATTCAACACCATTACAAGGTACATATCAAGTCCACTTTTTCTGCTTTTTCATACTGCAAATGATAAGCAACTTATACTAGCTACCATATCAAGATTGCTAGACTGATCTGAAGCCAGGAAGGCAGAAGGGGAAGACATTTCTAAATAAACATGCTGTGATCACAGATTATCCATTTTATAACAATATAACCTGGGTTGTACACTGAGGTAATATTAAGTGTTAAAAATGTATTGCTTCAACCATTCTAAGAATGAAATTTCCTGTATATTCCATCTCCTTTTGTAATAATCATTTGGGGAATGAACAACTGGTATATTACTACTCTGCTAGCCCAGCCTTGCAGAACTGGAAGAATTGCACAAAAAATTATCAACCCCCAAAAAAGACCAACTCAAGCCACTTACCATGAGAAAAATGACTTACTTCCACTCATCAAAACAGAGACTCCTTTGGTGGAAGCTAATTCTAATTCTAAGAGCAGATCAAATTTTCAGATCATTTGGTAACATGTGTTTAAGTGACTGATTCGGGTAATGAGAAATCTACAGTTCTGATTGTAGGTGTAACAATTGTATTCATATTCCAGCAGCAACTACGGTACATCAAATGTTGACCAAACAAGAAGGCAAAGAAAAAAGGGTGTAGACCTCACAAATGTCAACATCTGATTCATCAACAGCATGAATCAATTTCTCAGTAGGATTTTTTTCTGGCATGTTAGTGGCATGATAGAATTTGTCTCAAAATGATGGATAGTCCTGGCAGGGTGTACACTGGTTGCACTTCTCTTCACCCCAAATATTATTCATGTAAGTGAACACTATGGCCACTGACAGACATTCAATAAAAGGTGTGCACAGCAGTGGTGCAATTGTGGGATCGGGAATCAGATCCCAATTGCACCCTATTGCTGGTAAAGGGGGAGTCTGGAACCATGATCTCAGGTTCCCCCTACACTGGAAAGTAGCAAGCCAGGTGCCCAGTCCTCCCACTGTGCCAGTCAGCTGACACTCCTAGCAAGGGGACTGCACTGAACCCAAGGGCTCTGATGCACTCCTGCAGCTGGGAGCACTGATCTGCTGACACTCCCAGCCATGGGAGCATGCCAGAGCCAAGGGATCTGTGGCTGGGAGTGCCAATCAGCTGACCAGAGCTCCCAGCCATGGGAGCGCACCAGAGAGAAGGGCTCCTACACACTTCCAAGGCTGAAAGCACTGATCAGCTGGTTGATCAGCACTGCCCAAACACTCAGTTTAAGGTGGGATGGGAAATAGCCACAAAGTTTTATACATATTTTGTGTAATAACTTTGTGGCTTACTCCCCATTTTATCACCTCATTAACTGGTTAATCACACTTTAAGTGTAATGTCTGCCAGGGAGGGGCCTGTGTGTTTATGGTAAACACAGACCCATTTCTGCTTTTGATATATCATGGACAAACAGTTGGTTGTTTTATTTACTGAAATAAATAAATAAAAATAAAACAATCAGAAAAGCAGGGAGAAGCAGGATTTGTTTGGTAATGTCTTTTATTGAACCAACTATATCTGGGGTGTCCAGCCCATGGGGCTGAATGACCTTGCCCCTGGGTCTCAGACGGACCCCACATGCCACATATGGGGCTGGTCTGACACAAGGGTAGGATCTGGTGCCACAGGCACTGCTTGCAGCACAGGGAGTCAGTCTGCGATGCGACCTGCATGCAGCACCTGTACCAAGCCAATCCTGCCCACTGGCTTTGGGGTAGTCTGGATCAGGATTTGCCACAGCCACTGCACAGGGCTATCTGGTGGGGCACTACATGCAGCATACACCCTGTGCTGGCCCCTTGAACCAGGAGTAGTGCCCACAGCACCAGGTCTGCTTATATGCTGTGTATGCCATGTGCAGACCCTGCTCCAGGGCTTGGCCTGCATGGGGCACATGGGCTGGACCTGGAGCTGTGGGTACTGCTCGCAGCACAGGGAGCTGGCATCAAGTGTCTGCTGGAGGCAGTGCCCCACTGGACGGCCCTGCATGCTGGCTCTGGCATGCACGTATGCCTGGGGCATGATCCTGACTGGCCCCAGAGCCAGTGCTTAGGGTCGGTCTTGTGGGGTGCCACAAGCAGTACACACCCCACCCCATGCTAGGCCCCTGGGTCACAGACAGTGTTTGCCATGCCAGGTACAGCCCATGTGCCTGCAGCACAAGTCCAGGAGTGGGACTGGCACATGCTGCCTGTGGCACAGGGGGCCGGCATGGGAAGTGTGCAGCATGCAGTGCCCCACTGGACTAGCCCTGCCTACTGACTCTGGCATGGCCAAATCTGGCCCAGAAATCCTCATCTAGCTCACAGGGCTGAATGAGTTTGACACCCCTGAATTATACAGACCTGAGGAAGGGCAATTTGTGCCCAAAAGCTTGTATATAGTCTGTCTCAACTATATAATCCAAAAAAAATATTACCAAATCTATTTCAGATGTCCTGAAAGACGTGCCTTGAATACCATGAGAAAATTCATCAGCAAAAGTGGGATGTACGGATACTAAAGCTATGCGATTGACAGCGTATAAAAGGACTGGAATCAGGTTGGAGAGTAATTCTCCCACAGGTCACTGGCTCTGATCCCACCCAGGTAAGCTGCTACTTCTAAGCACATATTATAAAACTCTTGTGAGAAAAGATCATCTTCCTGTGACGTGTGCACAGCACCTACAGCACCAGAAGCCTACAGCTTGTTTTTTTTCACCTAATGTCATAAAGCCCTGGACCCAAAGCACTACTGTAATACAAAAAAAAAACTGCTGCCAGGTGAAGAGAAGGTTTGAACTTACACTGAACTTACATGTAGCTAGACAAAACTCCTGCAACAAAACCAGAAGCTACATCAAACGAGTCTGGCTCCATTTACAAAACTAACCCAAACGATCTCCTCCCGAACTCTAAGATTAGTTTCTGTCATTGGCTCTTTCTCAGCATCCATAAGACTCAATAAACAGGTAAGTAACCTTCAATATGTGCACCAATCATTTTCTGCCTTCTACTAAGCTACCAAGATGGATCTACAGAGATTCAGTGGCCTCAGTTTCTCTAGCTGAGATACTGGATTGAGAAGTGACAGGCAGCACAACTTGGAGTTACAGAGATCTTAACTACTGATGTTTCAGGAATTTGAACTTCACAGGGGCCACCTGGTGTCTTCACAAGCTGACACTATTCTCCACTGTGCATCTGGGGAAGGGGCTTGTCGCTCTTTGGCAAACTCATCCTCAAGTTCTTGTGGCTAACAAACCTGGGCCCGGGCCCAGACCCAGGACGGCTTGCTGCACATCTGTAAGCCATCACTCTGCCCCAATATTCCTTTTACTTTTCAGTGAAAACTTCTAAATCTGCTCAGTTCCCTGCTGCTCTGTTTGGTCTGGATATTTTCTAATCTTCACAACTGCTGGTGCTGCCGTTTGACTTTGTGTCTGTACTTGGGCTGTGACAGATTTGTCAATTTTGTTGCTGTAACCTTCCTGGCAACCAGCCCTGAAATGCATCTTTACATTCACCTTGAAGCCCATATACAACCCTCCACACACGTACCCAAGCAAAGAGAACACATTGTCACAGCCTGTGAGAGATGGTTTGTGGAAGTACTGTTGTCCTGTTTAAAGGGAAAGGCAGCCAAAAGCTTGGAATCTCTCCTGGTTGTCTTCTACATTTCCCTGCACGGCCACAAGTTTGAGGGACAGGCATCCTATCCTTACCTCAAGTGGACATAATCCCACATGGCAAAATATCTGGCACCATCAGCAGCCCCCAATCAGGCATTCCTTACTGAAAACACATTGCAGGCCAGAAGCAATAGCTAGAAGAGGGCGGTCAGGGAGCATACATTTGTCCAAACTCAATAAAATCCATTTGCATTCTGTGCACAAGGACAGAGGTAAAGGTTTTGAGTCTTTTTGCCACAGGATATATGTTTTTTCTCACTGGTGCCACTTACACCACAGTGGTGAGAGGGGCTTTCTGGCTGGTAAACCTATGACTGTGCATAATTTTGCCATTCCCCAACATGGGGAAGGAGTGTAACAGCTGCCTGGGGTATGGTCTTAAATACAGACAAGCTCTAGTGCCATGCCCAGCCTGAAAAGAGGAAATTTCTCCTCTCTCCTTCAACTCCCTGGAGATCCTTAGCCTAGCTGGTTTGGCTGTGCCCTGGTTCCTGGATCTGACCTCCTGTATGAGGGCTCTGGTAAGCAAT